ACACACACATACACACACATACATACACATACACACACACACACACACACACACACTGCCTTACCTTCTTAAAGTATTTCATAACTTAAGCTTTCATAGTTCTCATACAACTAATGTTATACTAGAGAAATATGTGGAACAAGGGAAACAATAAGTTTCTAGATTTGTTCTCAATTTTTTAATACTAGACAGCAATGAATATACATACATATTCATAATCTCTCTCTCTGTATATATATAAATAAATGTATGTATGTATGCACAAACACAAGACATATAAAGGGTCATCATCCTTCACTCCTTCACTCTCACCCACATTAGAAATCCATTAGCAAATGACACAGACTTGGCAGGACAGCGTGAAAGCAGTGCTAAAGTTTTTCATCCCTATGCCACCCCCTTTTCACAGACATTCCTGAACTAACACTACACTGCAAAGTAGGGGAGAGATACACCTGGGAAGGTTTTCATGAATGCAAAATAACCCCTGGGTGTCTCTCCTACATTCTCAGGTGGAAAATAATGCTCAATTTCTAATATGTTTTCACAGGACAAGCAACAATCTGCAACAAGTTTTCTCACAGTGAAGACACTTTCAGGGTTTCTCTTTGGTATGAATTAGCAGGTGCTATACAAGATGTTTCTGCCTGGAAAAGATTTTCCTCAGTGGTTACATTAAAAAAGTCACTTCCCAATAGAAGTTCTTGGATGTCGACAGAAGCCTGCCCATTTGTGAAAGGCTTTTCCTCACCTGCTTCACTGGTAGGGTTGCTCTCACTGTGCATCCTTCGATGGTGAGTGAGGGATGAGCTGCGGCCGAAGGCCTTTCCGCATTCACTGCATTCATAGGGTTTCTCTCCAGTGTGGATGATGGAGTGTCGGAGGAGGTTTGTGCTCCAGCAGAAGGTTTTCCCACACTCAACACATTCATAAGGTTTCTCCCCACTATGAATCCGCTGGTGCCTTGTGAGTCCTGACCTCCGGTTGAAGGCCTTCCCACATTCTATGCACTCATACGGCTTCTCTCCAGTGTGGATGCTGAAGTGTCGAATGAGGTCAGCTCTGTTGCTAAAGGCTTTCCCACATTCTCTGCACGCAAAGGGTTTTTCTCCAGTGTGGGCCCTTTTATGCAAGATGAAAGTGGAGCAGTGGGTGAAGGCTTTTCCACACTCACTGCACACATAAGGCTTCTCCCCAGTGTGAATGCGCTGGTGCCTCTTGAGGTACGACCTGTGGTTGAAGGCTTTGCCACACTCGAGGCACTCAAAGGGCTTCTCCCCAGTGTGGATCACATAGTGGTGGATCAAGGCTGCACTCTCACAAAATGCTTTCCCACACTCACTGCACTCGTACGGCTTCTCCCCAGTATGAGCCCGTTGGTGCCACAGGAGGTAGGACCTGTGTTTGAAGACCTTGCCACACTCAAAGCACTCGTACGGGTTCTCCCCACTGTGGATGATGTAGTGTCGAATGAAGCCTGGCCTGTCTCGAAAAGCTTTCCCACATTCTTTACAAACGAAAGGTTTCTCTCCCGTGTGGCTCCTGTTATGTAAGACAAAAGTAGAGCGGTGTGTGAAAGCTCTGCCACATTTATCACACTTATAAGGCTTCTCCCCACTGTGGATCCGCTGGTGCTGGGTAAGGTGGGATTTGCGGCTGAAGGCCTTCTCACACTCCATGCACTTATAGGGCTTCTCCCCACTGTGGACCATGTGGTGCTGAAGAAGGTATGTGCTCTTGCTGAAGGCCTTCCCACACTCCTTACACTCATACGGCTTCACTCCAGAGTGACTCCTCTCATGGCGAGCAAGGAGGCGCTTTTTGCTGAATACTTTGCCACAATCATGACATCTAAAGACTCTTTCCTCCTCCTGAATTACAGGGTCCTTATCTGACTCATTCGAGGGGCACTTACTGACAGCACTTTCTGAAGAAACGTGCTTCTGTACAACCTCTGAACACATGTCTTCAGCTGTCCCTAAGCTATCACGTCCAAGGCTGACTTTCCCAGGAGGCAGCTTGCTCTGAGGCTCTATCCCTGTTTGAAAGTGTCCTCGCTGCATTTCTGAAGAACCAATCTGACCAGGAGTTTGCACTGACTGCCAGTCCTCTGAGGCTTCTTTGGTCAACTTGCCCTGGAGTGAGACTCCCTTAGATAGGGCTGGCTCACAAGGGGTAAGTTCGGCGGCCTTGGTTTTTCCATTGTTACCTGAAATAAGCAACACACATCAGAATAACAGAAACAAGAAAAAATCAAAGTGCCGTGTTAAAGAAAAACATCAGACTTGAAACAGTACGTTGAGATCTATTAACCCTGGTTTGTAAATTTTTGTGATTCTTGAATTCTTGACTCTTAAGGGGAGACCAAATTGAAAGTCTAGATGATGGGAAAGAGAGTCTAGGGTAGACACTCTCAATTTTTGACTTAAGAGGCCAGCCTGGTCTACAAAGCAAGTTCCAGGACAGTCAGAGCTGTTACACAGAGAAACCCTGTCTCAAAAAAAAAAAAAAAAAAAAAAAAAGCAAATAAAAACAACAATAACAAAAAAAAGAGTTCCTGATGAAAGGGAAAAATCAGTAGCCATCTTGAGAGACCCTTCCCCTTCCCCTCCTCCAAAGGTATTTGCTGACCAGCAGTTTTAGAAGTGACCAGAAGTCGAACTTAAAAGGCTGGGACAATAAATCTATGTATCCTGGACTTGGCAAAACAAGACATGGGGAGTAATGGGCTCCACTGACCTCGGAGGAGAGTAGGACTGGAACAATAAATCTGAATGTATATATCCTGGGTTCAGCAAAAGCAGGACATAGGGAGTAAAAACTTAGGTCTCTGTAGATACCCTGAATCCTGTTAGCCATCAGTGACCTCATGCTTGTAGTTCAGGCAGTAATTTCAAAGAACTGCCTCACCCCTAGCCTCCTCGTCCAATCCCAAGCCACATGTAAACCTTTCCTATATAAACCTCTTAAAGTGAGTGCTCGGGGCTGTTCTCCTCCACCTGCTGTGGCTGTGTTGGATGTTGGATGTGGACCAAGCTTGCTTGTTTTGTTAATGAAAACCCCTGTGTGCTTGCATCAGATAATGGCTCTGTGGTGGTCTTGATTGGGGGGTCTTGTGACCTGGGCACAACACTGACTTAGTATTTCCATAAAGGCAGCTCATTCTCTGGCTGGGCGGTGGTGGTGGTGGTGGTGGTGCACGCCTTTAATCCCAGCACTCGGAGGCAGAGCCAGGCGGATCTCTGTGAGTTCAAGGCCAGCCTGGGTTCCAAGTGAGTTCCAGGAAAGGCACAAAGCTACACAGAGAAACCCTGTCTCAAAAAAGCAAAAAAAAAAAAAAAAAAAAAAAAAAAAAAGGCAGCTCATTCTTAGCTCCTAAACAGTAGCCCAGGGGCTAGTGAGAAGGTTGCAGGGTAAAATCGACTGCCACCAAGCCCGATGACCTCAGGAAAGAACTGACTCCTGACAGTTGTCCTCTCATCTTCAAACACGTTCTGTGGCACATATATACATGATGAATGCACACACATACAAGAAATAGAAACAACGATAGTCTGCTGTCTCCCAGCACATCAGGAAACCGGGATAAAAGGATCACAAGTTTGAGATCAGCCTGGCTATTTACATAGACAGGTTGAGGGCCAGCCTGACTTACCTATAAAAACACTACTTCAAGTTCTGCAAAAATATACTTTTAGCACATATAACTAATGAAGTATTATGAATGTGGACTGGGGGGGGGGTGTGACTCAGTAGTAGGCACTTACTAGCATGTCTGAGGTGTTTGAATGAAAGAAAAAAAAAGAAGAAAAAATGTGCAAAGAACTCTGAGTTAATAATGTTTAAAAAAACCTCACTTATCTGAATTATTTCACAGAAGACATAGAATTGCCAAAAATCTTTTAGTAAGCCACTAACCCCTCATTCCTAATGAGAAAAAATGAAATACTATGGTGTCCCTATCTAATAGCAAAACCTGAGAAGCACCCACCCTTATAGCATCAAGTGCTGGATAGGCTACGGATCAAAGCAGGACACGCATGCGGACTGGTAAAGAACTGCTTGCTAAGTGTCAATGAGTGAAAGACGAGCAACGGGGTTAGACAGAGCACAGCTCCAGAGTTCCGAAAGAAACATGAGACTGGAAGGAAATTCCCCACCTCAAAACCAGGGCCAAAAACAGGCCCAATGATTCAAGAAACCTACCCGCCATGGAATTCCAGAAAACAGCCAACCCCCATCACATATCCACAGGAAATCTGGCTTACATTCATCCTGTGGTTTATAAAAAACAAACAAACAAACAACAGTTTCTGCCCTTCCTCCCTCCTTACTCTCCACTACAAAAACTAATTCTCAGACCCTGCACAAACCCTTCTCCTGTACCCTCAGATACTGAGGCACAGGGCTTGGGAGCACCAACCTCTCAGACCAGTAAGGGCTGCTCTTGCTATTCTGAGGTCGAACTGAGTCTATTCTTTCCCATTCCCCCATGAGTAAACTTCTTACAAGACATGCTTTGCCACAGTCACCTACACAACACGAAAGGTAAAGCTTACATTTTGGTTCGTGTTTGGAGACAGGCTCCCACTGGGCAGCCTTGGACGGTCTGGAACTAGCTATGGAAACCAGGCTGGCCTTGAACTCACAGAGACCCACCTGCTTCTGCATCACACACACAAAAAAGCTTCCTTTGATGTGTCGCTTTCTTGTCAATCCCCAGTATGAAGGAAAACAAAAGAGGGCTCAGGAGACGACTCAAGTGGGGAAGGAGCTTGCAGCCAAGGCTAATAAACCAAATTTAATAAGCAGACTCCACATAGTGGAAAGAGAGAACCAACTTCCAGCTCCTACAAGTCGTCCTCTGACTCTCATATGTACACTGTGGCATATATATGCACATACACACAGAATAAAAAAGGAAGGAAAGAGGAAAAAGAAAGGAAAGGGAGGGAGAGGAAAATGAGGTAGAGGAGGAGGAGGAAAGAGAGAGAAGTCTCCAGGAGACTCCACTAGTCCTGACCATGTCCCTTACCTGCATGGATGCTTGGGAAAAGGTCTTTCATCACTGGCCACAGCTCCTGCCCATGCTCCAGTCGACACATCAGCTCAGGTCTGGGAACAGGATACCCTTTGAGGAGAGAAAGATGGACTCATGAATTTTTTTTTTTTTTTTTCTGTAAAGAGATGAAGAACCTCAATGTCATCTGGGACTTCAGGACCATAATTTGGCCTTGGAATGAAGCTGCTCTCAGCAATATCAGTGAAGTTAGCATGTGACTTGGAAACTTAAGAGTATGCTAAAATCTGTAAAAGGTATGCCTGGTAAGACAAGACTATAATCCAGCTACTAGAGAGGCTGAGGTAAGCGGACAGCAAGGCCAAGCTGGCCTGGGAAACTTGATGAGACCTTGTTTTCAAACACAAAGGAGGGCTAGGGACACAGCTCAGCGGCAGAGTGTTTGTGGAGACTGTGCAGAGACAAGCACACCCCTTGAACTGAGGGGGGGGGACCAAGTATTTTTATGCAGGTTAGTGTTCGTCAACGTGACACAAACCTAGACATATTTGGGAAGCCAAACCTCCAAGGAGAAAAATGCCTCTAGCAGGATGGCTTGTAGGCAAACCAGTGGGGCATTTTTACACTAGTGAAGATGTGGGAGGTTGTGAGTGGTGTCACCCTTGAGCAGGAGGCCTGGGTTCAATAAGAAAGCAGGCTGGGCACCCATGGGGAGCAAGCCAGTAAGCAGCACCCTCAGTGGCCTCTTCATCAGCTCCTGCCTCCTGGTTCCTGCTTGAGTTCCCATCTTGGCTTCCGCTGATGAGAGACAATAACCTGTAAGCCAAATGAACCCTGTCCTGCCCAGGCTGATTTTGGTCATGGTGTTTTATCACAGTAATAGAAACCATAACTAAGACATGTTCATAACCAATATTGATAGGGCATCTCAGGGATGTATATTAGGTTAATCCATGACTGAAGAATATTTAAGGGAAAATTTAGGAGTAAAACTGGCATATTCAAAACATCAAGTATTTTCACTTAAAACAGGAATGAGCCGGGCGGTGGTGTCGCACGCCTTTAATCCCAGCACTCGGGAGGCAGAGCCAGGTGGATCATTGTGAGTTCAAGGCCAGCCTGGACTACCAAGTGAGTTCTAGGAAAGGTGCAAAGCTACACAGAGAAACCCTGTCTCGAAAAAACCAAAAAAAAAAAAAAAAAAAAAAAAAGATTATTAATTCATTTTCCTGTGTACAAAGAAATTCTTAAAGCTGGGCAATAATAAAAATCAGAGTCTGGCTGTTGGCTCATACTTTTAATCCTAGTATTCAGGAGGCAGAGACACATAGATATCTGTCAGTTCAAGGCCAGCCATCTGAATACTGAATTCCAGGCCAGCCAAAGCTACACAGTGAGACCCTGTCTAAAAAAAAAAACCAAACATACAAAAGGAACAAGCTTGAAACTGGTAATGGTTAGCCCTAAAACATCAGTGTGTTGGCTAGTTTTATATCAGTTTGACACAAGCTAGAGCAGTGGTTCTCAACCTTCCTGATGCTGCGACCCTTCAATACAGTTCCTCATGTTGTGTCCCCCATCCATAAAATTATTTTTGTTGCTATTTCATAACTGTAATTATGCTACTGTTATGAATTATAATACAAGTATCTTACGTTTTCTGATGGTCTTAGTTCACCCCTGTGCAAGGGTTGTTCAACCCCAAAGGGGTCTTGAACTGCTGAGCTACAGTCAGTGGAGAGAAGGGAACCTCAACTGAGAAAATGCCTCCATAAGATCACGCTGTAGGCAAGCCTGTAGGGCATTTTCTTAATTAGTGATTGATTGAATCCATTGTGGGCAGGGCTATCCCTGGGCTGGAGGTCCTGGGTTCTATAAGAAAGCAGGCTGAGTAAGTCATAGGAAGCAAGCCAGTAAGCAGCACTCCTCCATGACATCTGCATCAGCTCCTGCCTCCAGGTTCCTGCCCTGCATGAGTTCCTGTCCTGACTGCCTAAAATGGACTATGACGTGGAAGTGAGCATAAGCCAAACAAAGCCTTTCTTCCCCAGCTTGCTTTTGGTCATAGAGTTTCATCTAAGCACTTAGTTAAGACAACTGGCATTTGGGAGGCTGAGGCAAATAAAAGAATCGCCACAAGTTAGAGGCCGAGCTGGGTTAGACACTAAGTTCTATGCCAGCCTGGGCTATAAAGTGAGACCTTGTCTTAAAAAGCAACATACTGGGTGTAAGTGGCCCATTCCTTTATTTCCAGCACTCAGGAAGCAGAGACAAGCGGATCTCTGAGTTCAAGGCCTGCCTGGTCTACACAGTGACCCTGTCTCAAAACAAACAAAAACGTATCCCCAAAATAAAAATAAACAGGGCAAGGTAAAGGTGCTTACCACCAAGCCTGAACCGGACCCTGAGGATCAATGTAGCAAGAAGTGAGTCCTCACGTTGTCCTCTGAGCTCTATGTATCATAGCATAGGTGTGCATACACACTAACACAGTATAATTCTAGCACTTTGGAGACGAAGACAGGATAATAAGGAACACAAGGTCATCCTCAGCTATATAATGAGTTCAAGGCCAGCCTGGGCTGCATGAGACCAGACCACTTTATAAAAGACAAAAATCAAGTCTATTTAGCTCAGTTTAGAAGCAAGTCTTTCCTGCATCCCCTCTTCCTTTCCTTTCCTCTGTTTCCCCTTTTTTCCTCCCTTTACTAGGGTCTCTCTATGTCTCCTAGGGTGGCCCCAAACTCCTGATCCTGTTGACTTGGGTTCCCAAGTGCTACGATTATAGGTAGGTGTGAGCCACCACACTCATCGGTACTGATGTTCTATAACCCACTGTAACTAAGGCCATGCCAGAACCACAGCGATAAGTACATTAACCCCTGGAAAGGACAGTGGCTCCAGGAACTTTTGCTTCTCTCCTTCCACATTTATGTGGGTCATGGAGTTAGCACTAGCCACAGAGGGCTGGAGAGATGGCTCAGTGGTTAAGAGCATGTACCGCTCTTCCAGAGGACTTGAGTTTGATTTCTAACACCCATGTCTCATGGCTCACAACTTCTTGCAATTCCAAGTCCAGGGTCATTCAGTACATCCAGCCACCTCCAGCACCTGCACGCATGTACTGACACACTCACATATGTAGGAGACACGAGGTCCTTGTGCTCACAGGTAAGTACTAGGGAAACCAGGAATGTTAAACATGCAGGGCTGTCTCTTCAAAGAAAGAGATGCATGACCAGTTTTCCACCCAGAAGCCTGGGAGTGAAGGTGGTTATAGCCTGGTGACCTTGGTACTATCTGTGTGGCCAGGCCACACCTGGCTCCCCCAGACTCACATGTTTATCTCAGTCAATCTACAGTGCTATCTTCTCCCAGACCCTTATCATGAACTGTTTACCTTGAGCCTGCTTTCTTAGTAAATCCACTGATCTTCATGGAAGAGGTCACATGTACTTTACAAAGAGTTTTGATGCAGTCGTGCCTAAGATTTATTGTGCATACAGAATCAAGTATCACCAGGGAATATTCTTCTAAATTGTACAGTACTTTAATATGCCTAAAATAAACTGCCTGGTGTCAAACTCGCACAGTTTGAACCAACACCAGCCACTGAGTCATGTTGAACCAGACTTCCTTCTTGACTCATTAGCATCAACTCTCTGCTGGCCATGGTGTTTGCAGGTACTCATGTACACATACAAATGACTAAAAATAGTGAAAATAAATCTGGTGAGGGAAAAAAGCACTACCTCAAGAAGCTGGAAACTCTACCTCTGGGTTCAACGAAATACCACTTTCTTTCCACTGCCATCCTCTCTGTATTACCCTTGGAGCCTAAAGGTACTAGGTTTCTGGCCCAAAGAAATACAATATGCCGGGCGGTGGTGGCGCACGCCTTTAATCCCAGCACTCGGGAGGCAGAGGCAGGAGGATCTCTGTGAGTTCGAGGCCAGCCTGGACTATAGAGTGAGTTCCAGGACAGGAACCAAAACTACACAGAGACACCCTGTGTCGAAAAACAAAACAAACAAACAAACAAAAAAAGAAATACAACATAGGAAAGGATGAGTCTAGAAAAATGTCTGAAGCAGTGGGAAGACAAGAAGGTGGGCTCAGAGGATCTCTAAACCATCAAGGCCTGGATGAAAACATCAGATAACCCATCCCCTGGAAATGGGAGGTCACAAGACTTACCCAGAGAGACGAGAAGCCCACGGTTTTCCAGCATCACCTCCTGGTACAGGGTCCTCTGAGCTGGAGCCAGCTGCCCCCACTCCTCTTGGGTAAAAATTACAGCCACATCCTCAAAGGTGAAAGCCACCTGAAAAGTCACTAAATGCATTAGTGTTGGCCTTGGGAGGCTCGGTAAGATGTCATGTGTGCATTGCTCAAAAGGTATATAAAGAAATGAAGGCCCAAACCACACAGCACATCCTGAAGGTCATGCTGTTTCCTGGCTCCACGGGGAGAGATGTGCTGTCGGGGCATGTGATGGCAAGATTTCATCGACAACCTGAAGAGAGGCTCAAGGAGGGACTGTCTAGATCCGGCTGGCCTGTGGGCTTGTCTGTGGGAGATCATTTTGATTATGTTAAGGTGGGAAGACCCAACCTAAAAGTGATTGACACCATTCCTTGGGTTTGTGCCCTAGACTGCATATAAAAGGAGGAAGTGGAGTCACTGAGTTGTGTATCAGGAAAAGGCCAAGCTTTACAACGTATCTATCCCCTGGGACCTTAAATAGCAAAAGGCAAGAACCCAACTCCCAGAAGTTGTCTCCTCGTTTCTAAATGCAAACCCTATACATACACACACACATACATAAATGAGTAACATAACTTTCCAATAAATAAAAATAAGTGCTGGCCGTGACCGCACACACCTTTTAATCGTAGCACTTCAAGAAGCAGAGACAGACGGGTCTCTGTGAGTTCCAGGCCAGCCAGGGGCTACTTGGTGAGACCCGGCCTCGAGAACAAATGAACGGAGAAAAGGGGAGGCGCACACGCGTGCGTGCACCTATGGCTCTCTTTTTCTGACCATGAACACGCTGTAACCAGTTCTCTCAAACTCCTGCTGCGGTTGACCTCCCTGTCGTGACAGACCCGGGACTGTGAGCCAAATAAACCCTTGCTTCCCTCAACACCTTTGTCAGGGTATCTTATCCCAGGAACAGGAAACAAAGCTAAGACGAAGACCGGGCATAATTATGCCAGTGTGAAGGGCAGCAACCCCCGACTCAGGAGCTCTTAGAAAGTAACAAACAAGCTCTTAGAAAGTAACAAACGAGGAGCACCGACTGTGGGTTGTGGGAGAGGTTCTGTCCGGGGTATCGCAGGAGCGACAAAACAATGACAATAACAATGGAACCGATACCAACAACGTTAAGGACAGCAATCCTTGGGCTTCACTGGTCCCGCTAGTTTCCTGCCCATGCTGAATGCTTCACAAGTCCTCAGTTCTGAAGTCAGACTCCTAGAGTTTCAATCCAAGCTCCTGAAACTACCACTCGAGAGCTGTGCAACATCAGGTACCTCACTTCATCTCTGAGCCTCCATTTCCAGATCAATACAGTAATTCTCACTTCATCGACAACAGCTATGGGGGGGGGCGGGGGACAAAACAGAAAAAGGTAAACGTGGGTAAGAAAAAAACAAAAACAGCCATGAGATTGAGATGAGACTTTTGAAAAATAAAGCATACCACACTTGAGCCGGGCAGTGGTGCTGCACGCCTTGTATCCCAGCACTCAGGAGGCAGAGGCAGGTGGGTCTCTGAGTTCGAGGCCAGCCTGGTCTACAAAGAGAGTTCCAGAGCACTCGGGGTTATTATGCAGAGAAACCCTGTCTCAAAAAACAAAACATACCACACTGTTCTAGTTTCCATTAACTTCTACAGCATGTGGTCCCCTATATATCAGTGACTTAGGGCTAAAAGCGGTCCACAAATTCAAGAAGGGTTTCATATCTTTGCTTGTGTTTGTTAAGACAAGGTCACACGTCATCCAAGCTAGTCTCAAATTTGCTATGTAGCCAGGGCTGACCTTGAACTCCCAATCCTCCTGCTTCTGCTCTCCAGTGCTGGGACTACAGGAATAACTAAATGAGAGTGCTATCTGGGCAAATGAGATAGTCTGGAGGGGGAAAGTACTTTCCCCCAAGCCAGGGCACCTGAGTTCGAGCTCCAGAACCCATATAAAAGTAAGAGAGAGCCAATTCCGGAAAACTGTCCTTTGACCTCAAACTCATTGCTCGCACATGAGTGGACACAAGCTTGCACACAATCAAACACACACACAATTTTATATTTTTAAAAAGTGACCTCTGAGCAGAAATGTCAGAGCGAATGGTCTTGCAGGGATCTGAGGATGATCTGAGGCAGAGGGAACTGCAAGGGTTAATGACTGGAGAAGTAGAGAGAAGTTTTGGTCAGGTGGGTACACCTGAATAGCAGTGAGCCAGAGGGGAAAAGGAAACAAGATCGTAAGTGGTCAACCAGGAAGAATAAGAGACCTAGAGACCATGTATGTTTGGATTATGAGTTGATGAAAGCCTTTAGCCTGGAGCTTCATTCACCTTTCAGTCCCTTAAATACCTATTGGAGGCCTGATATTCATTCACCTTTCAGTCCCGTATATACCTATTGGAGGCCTGACATTCATTCACCTTTCAGTCCCGTATATACCTTTTGGAGGCCTGACATTCATTCACCTTTCAGTCCCGTAAATACCTTTTGGAGGCCTGACATTCATTCACCTTTCAGTCCCTTAAATACCTTTTGGAGGCCTGACATTCTTGGCATGAGCAAGCTGTAAGGGGCTAACTAGCAAAGGGTCATCCTGGAAACTGAGGGCTATGTGTGTCCTTTATTAGAGGCAGAAACAACTACAACAAGCAGGAACTAGTTATTAAGCCATCCTAGTCATCTGTTGCCTATTGTTACAGTTATGTGTAGGACTCTTGATTATCAAGAGAAATAGTCATCTGGCTAACTGTAGATATGACTTACAGGCTGACTTCCAAGGTGTTTTGTTACAGAAAAGGTGGCAGGTTGCTCAGATTATGGCTCAAAGTCCTACTTCTTTAGGTATGGCCTTCACTGTCCATGTGTATAAATGACCCTCTCGGGTACTAAGTGAATAAAAAAAGAAAGGAAAGGAAAGGAGATGACAGTTCCTAGGTGTGGTAGAGGAGAAAGTTTATTATGGATATGTGGAGGAGCGTAGCTAGAGACAGGGACATCACAAAAAGTCCAGAGTGGATATGACCCTGAGCCATGTGAGGAGAGGGAGGGAGACCAGGTGCAGCAGCAGTCAGAAGCCCAAAACAAGAGGGGTAACCAAAATGGTTGGATTATATAGGGACGGTGAACTGGGGGAAGGGCGGCCCAGCCCCTGGACTGGAGGTGTTTAGGGTGGAGGGCAGGTACTCCAACCAAGAGGACCCTGTAACAGGTAGGGACTGAGGGATGCTGGAAGAACCTGGCAGCCAGGTCCGCTTTGGTGTTAAATAAGCACCTCAGTCGTTTGTCCCAGGTTTGAGACCTAACACCAAGACTGGAGATGAATTGGGTGACCATCCAGAGCCACTTTTCCTAAACAAGCACAACTACAAAGACAAACCGAGAGGCTCTCTTGACAGACAGGCTTTCCGAACCGAGGAGACGTCAAACATCTCCGTCAACCCACCTGCCCGGCGTCCACAGGCGCGGACGCCATCCTGAGACCCCCGTGGGCTGTGAACCCGGTGGACCCCGTGGGCTTCGTGCAAGGTCTCCCGGGCAGGAGACCTTGGCTGACGGCGGCTCGGTTCACCGCCTGATGTCCAGGATTGCCTGTCAGAGGAGACGCCCCTCAGGCCCTTTAGGAAGGCTGCTAGGATTTCCACAGCTGGCCTGGACCACACCGTCGTGCCAGAATGACATCACGGCACGGGGACAGTAAGTCCCACCGCCAGGCTCCTCGACTATATTAGGCTTTTCATTTGCCGAGCAAGCCGCCTGACTCGTGTGCTGTGCCTTCTGGGTAATGTAGTTCTTCCTCTGCTGCCTACCCCTCTCTCCTCCCACCCCCTCCCCATCCCCCATTGGAGTGCTTTGGTGTTTTCCTGGACTATAGACCCAGCGTTGTGTCTTGGACATACCTATTGTTATTATCTGACATTGTTTCACTTTTAATTTTTGGGACGGTCTCAATAAATTGGCCAGGTTGGCCTTGAAATTCCTGGACAACCCAGGCAGGCTTTGATATCGTCCTGCCTCAGTCTCCTGAATACTTAAGAATGTAGGCATGGGTCACCAGGCCTGGCTTCAGACTCACCCCGTAACAATGCACACAGCTTGGGAGGATTCGGGCACTGGGTGAGACTGCCATTTTTTTTCAATATAAAATGTAGACTCGAGGGGGTTGAGGGTGGGTCTGCAACCTTGGCCAAAAATCTGGGCAAATGTAAAGATGAGAAGAAACTGGGCACTCTGGAGGACCCCAGACGTCTACACATATACCGACTCTCCTTATCCACCCCCTTTTTCACTTATTACTTATTTTGTATATGTGTGGGTGCGGGCGTGGCTCTGTACATGAGTGGAAGTACAAGGATTACGATCCCCACCACCCTGGTACAAGCTGGGCACAATGATGTGCATCTGTGATCTTAGCGCTGGGGAGCTGGAGATAGGATACTCAGTGTTCCCTGACCAGCCAGTCTAGCCAAATCAGTTGAGTTTCATGTTCAGTTCAGAGACCGACCATCTCAAAACATGAGATGAAAGCCGGGCATGGTGGTGCACGCCTTTAATCTCCAAACCTGGGTGGCAGAGTCAGGTGGATCTCTAAGTTCGAGGCCAGCCTGGTTGACAACTGGAGTTCCAGGATAGCCAAGGCTGTTAACACAGAAAACCTGCCTCGAAAAAAACCAACCAAACCAAAAATGAGATGGAGGGCAATAGAGTATCTACCTGATGTGGACCCTTCGCCCTCACCCCCGCCTCCACCACACAGTTAAGACAAAAGAGTCTACCAAATTGACGTACCAACTCACACAAACAAAAAGATATTAAATCAGGTTTAATTAGCATCTTCAATGAGAAAACAAGCAAAACAGATGAGGTAACAGAGCCTGGAGAGCTCCCTTGAATAACCGCAAAGGAACAGGGGCAGGGCTCAGGAAGCAGGCTGACTACAAGGAGGCAGGATCCTACGAGAGTGGGCCCGGACCCAGGGGTGCTTCAGGATCTGAGCCAGGTCCAGCCGATCGGAGGGATGGTACCTCAGAAGCTTGGAGATCAAGTCTTGGGCCCCCACAGGCACTGAATGAGGAAACCTCAAATCCACCTAATGAGGCCGGGGAAGAAGAATGAGAATCTAGTTAATCTCTTTGCTTAGTTCTCTCCTTGTTCTGTCAGTCTCTTCAGGGTACCTGTGGTGATATTTTATTTGTGCTTTAACAAATAAAGCTTGCCTGGAGATCAGAGGAAAAAGCCAGCCACTATATTAAACATAGAGGCCAGGCAGTGGTAGCACAAGCCTTTAAACCTAGCATTTGAGAGGCAGAGATTTATCTAGATCTCTGTGAGTTCAAGGCCATCCTGGCCCAAAAAGACACTGTCTCAAAAAAAAGCTAACCATAACACAAATTGCTAAACAGTCTTATTAATTAAAAAAAAACAAACAAACAAGGGGTTGGGGATTTAGCTCAGTGGTAGAGCGCTTGCCTAGCAAGCGAGAGGCCCTGGTTTCAGTCCTCAGCTCTGTTAAAAACAAAACAAAACAAAACAAAACAAAACACCTGGAGCCAGGTATTGGGTTGAAAGCTGAAAGATCAGAGAGCAAGCCAGCCACGTCTTACGTCTAGGAACTCCTCAGCCCAAGAGCTCTATCACTTCCTGTCTGTCTGTACAGACCTCCAGACCTCTGCAGTTAACTAGTGATAGGATTAAAGGCATGTGTGCCACACTGCCTGGCCTCTGTCTGTCTAATCTAGTGGCTGTCTCTGTCCTCTGATCCCCAAATAAGTTTTATTTGTTAGAGCACAAATAAAAACTACCACCACAGGTACCCTTCTGGCTATAGCAGATATAGTGTTTTGCAAACACTCCAACCCTCAAAGACCCAGGAGCTCTCACTGTCTGCCTCCCTGATGAATGCCACACATGTGGCCATCTCACCTTGAGGATGCGTTTGTATGTCTCACTGTGAGTGCTACTCTCGAAGGGTGGATTTCCCACCAGCAGCTCATAGCAGAGCACCCCAATACACCACAGATCCACCTTCTCATTATATGTCCTCCCTTCGATCATTTCTGGGGGCAAGTAGTCCAGAGTCCCGCACATTGTCTTTCTCCTAGGGCAGGACAGAGAAGGGAGTGCTGTGTGTGTGCATAGACTCAGAATGAGGGAAATCCACGCCCCGTCCCACTCAGCTTCCAAGGAAATGGGAGACCTAGGGACATCCTAAAGAGCCCCCTCCTGGGCAGGCAGGGTTTCAGAAACACCACTGTTAATATGGATCAAGATTCAGCGCAGCCGTGGCAGGTGGCTCCATGGGTAAAGTATGTGCACTGAAAGCCCCGAGGACCAGAGTTCTATCCCCAGAACCCACATAAAGCTGGGTGCACGTCTATAGTCCCAGGGCTCTGAGAGTGAGATGGGAGGCAGAGGAGAATCCCTGGAAGCCTGCAGGCCAGTAGGCCAGCTTGCCTGACTATGAGCAGCCAACAAGAGACCCTGTCTCAAATAGAATGGAAGGTGAAGAGCCACACATGAGGTTGTGCTCTGACATTCCCCCATACACACACACAACATGGCACACATGTGCCTGCACTCATACATGTGAACACACGCCCAGACTTTTAAGATTCAGGGAAGGCAGATATAGTGGTGCACATCTCTAATCCTAGCACTTGGGAAGGTTTAGGTAGGAAAGAGTACTATGTGTGTGAGGCTAGAATGACTTACAGGCCAGACACCATGAGAAACTGTTAATCAGAAGGGGGGGGGGGGCTGTTCTTCTAAAGGACCCTAGATGGATTTCCCAGCACCCACATGCCTGTGTGTGTGTGTGTGCGCGCGCGCGCGCGCGCGCACACACACACACACACACACACACACACACACACACACACACACACACAACATTCGGTGTCTCTATTGCTCTCCAGTTTGTTCCTTGAAGGCAAGGTTTCTCACTGAACCTAAACCAGTCATTTTTGCCAGGCTGGCTGCCAGCAAGCTTCCAGGATCTGCCTGTTTCTACCCCTCAATTTTGTGTTTACACAGGAAGTGCTCTTACTCAGAGTCACCACTCCACCCAATTCTTTCAGTCTGCCAATGCACTTTAAAGGTCTGCATTTGGAAAAGACCGTGTCCAAATACAAGCCCCTGTTTGAATCTGGGTCTTACATGTGAGAAGAATTCACCCAGGTGAAAACTCCTCAAAGGTTTGAGGGTCCCCCCCACCATCCCATGTGGCCTACCTGAGAGAGGGGGTATGCACAGACCAACCAAAGTCTGCGATCTTCACCTCACCCCTGAACCCCAGCAGGAGATTCTCCGGCTTGATGTCCCTGTGAATCACCTTCTTCTCATGACAGTAGGTCAGGGCATCTGCCAACTCCTCTATTATCTGTGTGAACAAAAGCAATCTGGTGGGGGAAAGACTTTTACAGCCTCCCTGCGAGGTAGAATAGGCATTATGAATTTTAAGACCGCAATGGAAGCTCACTTCTTGAGGTAATTCCAATATTTCCTTTTTTTTTTTTTTTAAGATTTATTTATTTATTATGTACAAAGAAGAGGGCACCAGATCACATTACAGATGGTTGTGAGCCACCAAGTGGGTGCTGGGAATTGAACTCAGGACCTCTGGAAGAGCGGTCGGTGCTCTTAACCTCTGAGCCATCTCTCCAGCCCCCAATATTTCTTGGTGTGCATACACATGCATATGTGGAACCCAAGGACAGTCTTCAGTGTGGCTCCTTATTGTCCACCCACCTTGTCTGTTGTTTTTAAGACAAGGTCTCACTGTATAGCCCAGGTTAGCCTTGAACTCATGAGCTCCGCATGCCTCTGCTTCCTGAGTTTAGGATCAAAGGTATGTACCGCTATGCCCTCTTGGTTCCCCAATATCTTTAATATAATACCATGGTTATAGCTTTGAATGGACACTGAAATGGACTGGTCCTCCTCGTGAACTTGGCAGAACAAGTAGCCAGATACAGAACCTGTGCTTAGCCAATCAGAACATTCCCCAAAGAATCGGTCTCAAGGGAAGGCTACAGGAATCATTCATTTTGCTGTCCAGTTGACCCAACTACTGCTGATGGGATAATGTCTGCTTATGGCTTCCCTTTCAGCGCCCTATAAATTTCTAGGTAGCTTTTTTTTTTTTTTTTTTTGAGACAGGGTTTCACTATGTAACCCTATTGGCCTAGAACTTGATATGAACCAAGCTGACCTTGAACTCCTGATCCTTCTGCCTCAGCCTTCCAAGGGCTGGAATTAAAGGTCTGCAAAACTACATCCAGCTAGCCTTCCAATATATGTTTGTTTATGGTTCCATTTTCTGTATGACAGAGTTGGACCTTTTATATACTATTCTTATTACATTTATTTATTGTTTTTTGTGTGGTTGTATGTATGTGAGTGCATGCACAGGTCCCAGGCTACCTTCTGGATTTGATCTCTCCTTTTACCATGTGGGCCCCAGGAGGCCAAACTTACATGATCAGCCTAGGCAGCAAGTATACATACCCCCTGAGCCAGCTTTCCAACCTAAGTTAGAATCTGATGCTGGGTAATAAAGACTCCAGGTATGGTGCAGTGGCCAGCTGTCAGGTATCAGAGGCAAGAGGATCTCTGAGTTTGAGGCCAGTCTGGACTACATACAGCATTCCAGGTCAAGGCTACTGTCTTAGTTAGGGTTTCTATTGCTGCAATGAAACACCATGACCAAAGAGCAACTTGGCGAGGAAAGGGTTTCTTTGGCTTACACTTCAGCATTGCTGTTCATGACTGAAGGAAGTCAGGACAGAAACTCAAAACAAGGCAGGATCCTGGAAGCAGTAGCTGATGCAGAGGCCATGGATGGAGTGCTATTCACTGGCTTGCTTCCCATGGCTTACTCAGCCTGCTTTCTTACAGAACCCAGGACCAGCAGCCCAGAGATGGCACCATGGTCTGGGCCCTCCCCCATTGATCACTAAATGAGAAAATGCCTTAGAGCTGCATCTCAAGGAGGCATTTTCTCAGCTGAAGCTCTGTCCTCTGATGACTCTAGCTGGTGTCAAGATGACACACAAAACCACCCAGCTAGTTGAGCCCCTTTCTCAAAAAAATAAAATAAAATAAAATCCAAACTATGAACACTAGTATTCTAGAACTACTACCCAGGGCCACACACAAGAAACTGGACCACCAAGTTATATCTCAGCACCCCAGAAAAAAAAAAATTTAATGGAAACAGTCCAAAGCTGGGTGTGGTGGCAGATGTCCGTCTTCCTAGCAACTCAGGATGCTGCAAGTTCAAGCCAGCTTGGGCTATACAGGAGTTCCAAGTCATTCTCGGCTATATAGCAAGTCCCTGCCTCAGGAAAAATACAGCAATCTGAGCCAGGCATAATGGCCTATGTCTATAGGACTTGTGAAGCTCTCCCAGGAGAATCACACATTTCAGATCAGCCTGGAGATTCTGGGAAAGCCTGAGCTAGCCTGGGTTACAAGATTCCCCCAACTGAAAAAAAAAGGGGGTGGTGGTGGTGGTGGTGGAATGAAGGCCAGCAAGATGGCTCAGTGGGTAAGGAAGCTTTGCTGTGCAAGCCTGGTGACCTGAGTTCCATCCCCGTCTCCCATGCAAAGGTGGAAAAAAGAAAGCAGACTCTTCCCCTCCAAGCTGTCTCATGACTTCCACATACGCAGCACTGTGGCATGTATGTCTCCCCCCCCCATATCACACACAAACACACATAGTGAATTAAGAAAAAGTGGGAAGGGGATATTGGCAGGCGCAAGAAATAACTCATCATCACAGGCCGAGCCCCGGCCCCAGAGCTGCCGCCCTCACCGTGGCTGTCCGCTGCTCGTCTAACGTGTGGTTCCTCTGAAGCTCCTTATAGAGCTCGCCCCGTGGGGCATATTCCAGGACTAAGTACACCCGGCGAGCATCGTGGAAGTAGTTGTACAGGCGCAGGATATTCGGATGTCTGAGGGAGGGATGGAGCATCAGGGCAGATGGCATGGCGAGCACAGGCGTTTTACTAATGCCAACCTAAGTTCCACCCCCAGAATCCACATGGCAGAGGGGGAGAACCAACACCTGCAGGTTGTTCTCCACACTGTGACACACGGGGCCCACGTGCCACCCCACCCCAATTAAAAAAAAAAAAACAAAAACTACTTTTACCTGGGTGGGGGTGGCGCACACCTTTAATCCCAGCATTCGGGAGGCAGAGGCAGGTGGATCTCTGTGAATTTAAGGCCAGGCTGGTCTACAAAGCGAGTTCCGGGGCAGCCAGGGCAACAGAGAGAAACCTGTCTTGAGAAACAAAACAAACAAACAAAATCAACTATTTGTGTCTCATTGTGTAACCCTGGTTGGTCTTGAACTCACTGTATACACCAGGCTGGCCTTAAACTCAGTGATCTACCTGCTTCTGCCTCCCAGGTGCTGGGGATAAAGGAATGATTAAAAAAAAAAAAAAATGTCACCTGAGGAGCAACAAACGGAGGTCTGACATCTGACCTGCACAAGTGTACACACACAAGACTGGTGTGTCCACACTGGGAGAGAATGTTACATGCTCTAACTGGAATGAGCTACAGAGAAAAATCTTCAAGGTGAAAACAAAGTTCTTATTTGGGGCTCGTGGAGAAGGCCACGTTCAGGTCAGGCCAGCAAGAGGGAAGCAGGAGCTTGAAATTCCCAGCTGGGAGTCCCGCACAGACCATGCTTACTGTAGGTGCGCCTGGATCTCCACTTCCCTTCGAAGCTGGTGCTCCAATCCCTCCTTCTCTATCTGGGACTTGAAGAGGACCTTCAGGGCCACAATGAAATGGTTTTCCTTGAGCCGAGCCAGGTACACATTGCCAAATTTCCCCTTGCCCAGAGGACGCCCGATTTCAAAGTCATCGATGGTGAAAAGCCTCCTGAACAGAAGGAAGAGATGACCACATCTCAGAGACTAGGAGAGTTAGGGACCCCCAACTACTTACTCCCCCGCTTCCTCATTCACTCTGCTCCCAGGCCCAGCACTGGGAGTTCAATGGGGGAAAACAGCATCTTAGATTCATCAGCCAAAGCTCCACTGGCCCAGCTTGCTCTTCACCCGAGTGAGTCTTCTTTCTTCTAGATACCGTGGCGAGGCACTCACCTGGTTGAGGTGCTGGGCTCCATCTGGCCAGTGGCTAAAGGAAAGAGGAAAAAAACCCCTGCAATCCTTGTCTGTGGGGGGTGGAGGTAGGAGGGTCACAAGTTCAAAGTCACCCTCCGCTACATAGCAGCTTTGAGGCCACTTGGGCTCCAAGAGACCCTGTCAGAGACCGCGGGATGGAGAGGTTAAGAATATAAGAGAAGTGTGGGGGAGGGAGGGAGGGAGGAGTTGGAGGAAGGGACAAGGAAGGGAAAGAGGAAAAGAGGGAGGGGAAGGAGAAAGAGAAGGACTGCAGAAGGACAGGAAAGCGGGGAGGGAAGACCGAAGAGGAGGGGCCGGAAAGGGAAGGCTGAAATCTCCAGTGCCCATGCAACCCACCTGACGGCGGATCCAAGTCCTTTCTGCCCTTCCTCTCTCTAGTATCCTGTTTCTGTTTAAGACAGGGTTTCAAGGTAGTCCAAACTGGCCTCTAACCGCGTCCATCCCCTGCCTCGGCCTCCCCCGTGTTGGGATGGCACACACCAGCTACCACCACCCTGGTTTTGGATCCCGGTTCCTATCCCTCTTACTTGTGGGCGAGGCTGTCCCCGAGGGAGGTCACCGTCTCGGCTAAACTCTGGGGAAGAGGTGATCGCAAGCTGAAGTACCGCTGGCTGCTTGGGTCCAGGGGCCCCTGGAAAGGGGTGGGCGAGCAACGCTCCGGCTGCGGCCTCTCCAATCGCCCAGAATGCCCCACCACGCCCAGGACACCGGCGACGCACCTAGCAGCAAAATCCGCTGGAATAGCGGCGCTCAAGCCGTTTGTAGAACGCGCCTGGTCCGGGACTAGCAGACTTCGCCTGATCCCGGTTGGTTGATCTTTCTGACGACAACCGCATACCCAATAGGGTAGAGCCCCGAGGGTGCTCGGCCAGTAGGATGGTGGGGGCGGGACCAGAGGGTCTCTGGGAGCCTAAAGTCTCCGGGAAGGAAGGTACGTAAGCGAGGTTTGCAGAGATCAGCAAGCGGCGCGGTGGGTGTGTCAGTGCCCGTACAAATGAATGTCCATCAACTTCAGGGACCTCGCTGTTAGAAATACTAAATGTGTGTCTTTTCTGTAAGTACTATAAAATTTGCGTTTATTAAGATAGGGAGTTAAGGGTTAGGCATTTAGCTCAGTGGTAGAGCGCTTGCCTAGCAAGCACAAGGGTTCGGTCCTCATCTCCAGAAAAAAATAAATAATAATAATAATAATAATAATAATAATAATAATAATAATAATAAAAGATAGGGAATTAAAACCTTTAAAAAAAACGTGGTGGTGCACGCCTTTAATCCCATTGGGAGGCAGAGCCAGGGGGAATCTCTGTGAGTTCGAGGCCAGCCTGGTTGGTCTACAGAGCGAGATCCCAGACAGGCACCAAAACTACACAGAGAAACCCTGTCTCGAAAAACAGACAAAAACAAAAACAAAACAAAACAAAACAAAACAAATCCCATCCATGTAGGGCGGTGGTGGAGCACGCCTTTAATCCCAGCACTCGGGAGGCAAAGGCAGGCGGATCTCTGAATTCGAAGCCAGCCCGGTTCCAGCAAGTCCCAGGACAGCCAGGGTTATACAGAGAAACCCTATCTGGAAGAACAAAACAGATAAACGAAAATCCTGCCTACTCTGTACTTTTGTTCAAGTGTTTTTGTTTGTAGTTTTGTTTCCACCACCACGCTTTTTCCCCCTCGAGACACAGTTGCGTTATGTAGCTCTGGGGTCCTGATGCTCATGTAGACCAGGCTGGCCTCGAATTCACACGGAGATCAGCCTGCCTCTGCCTCCCAAACCCTGGAATCAAAAGCATGTGCTCCACTACACCTGGCCTATCCAAGTGTTTTAATTCTCCCTTCCTAGTAAAACTTTTGTTTACGCAAAGGCTCACTGCTTTCTTAGGAATTTGATGACCTGGAACAGTAACCCATCACTTTCCTCTATTTCTTCTTTTCAGACTATCCAATTTGAGTAAGATTGCAAAGTCTAACCCCAGCCAATGGAGGGGGGGGGCACACAAATACAATAACAACAAAAAACACCACCTGAGTGAGAATGAAGAAGCAATTACATTTCTTGTCTGTGTGGGATTTTCCAAGCCCACCCAATTAATCAAAAGTGTTGGAACCAGGTCCAGGAATGGAGCGGAATGAGAATCCTTAGTGCTTGTGAGAACACTCCAAGGAAACGAGTCTTGTGACCTCAGGAATTATTCTTGGCATGTGTTTTCGTGCCCCTCCCAGGTGTAGTGGATAGGAGTGAGTTTACCTCAAAAACACTTCAAATTGAATTCGTTCAGACCAGGAACAAGACAAATTTTGCAGCACATCAATTGAAACCACAGCAAGATTGCCCGAGAGGTGGTGGTGCACGCCTTTAATCCCAGCACTTGGGAGGCAGAGGCAGGTGGATCTCTGAGTTCAAGGCCAGCCTGGTCTACAGAGCGAGTTCCAGGACAGCCATGTAAAAAGACTGTCTCAAAGAAATATAGCAAAATGATTTTTGATAGGCAGTGATAACTGCTGTGAACAGAGGAGAAAACCTCTCCAGAATTTACACATACCTGTTGTAAAGGAAAGGAGGAAGGATGGTGTCCCGTGTGGTGCTGGGAATTGAACACAGGCTTGTGTTACACTCTATAGATAAGAAACCCCTGGCTCTCCATTTATTTATTTGGTTTTTTGAGTCAGGGTTTCTCTGTGTAGCTTTTGGAGCCTGTCCTGGAACTTGCTCTGTAGACCAGGCTGGCCTTGAACTCACAGAGATCTGCCTGGCTCTGCTTTCCAAATGCTATGATTAAAGGCATGTGCCACCGATGCCCCACTCCATTTATTTATGTTTAAAAATTCTTTTTATTAATTTTACTTACATGTATTTTGCCTGCATGTATGTCTATGTGCCACATGGCTACACTATGCCCTTGGGAACCACAAGAAAGCATTGGATCACCTAGGAGGAGAGTTACAGATGTTGTGAGCTGCCACGTGGGTGCTGGGAATAGAACCTGGATCCTCTCGAAGAGCAGCTAGTACTTGTAAGCACTGAGTCAATACTCGTGGGTGCGTGCGTGCGTGCGTGCGTGCGTGCGTGCGTGCGTGCGTGCGTGCGTGTGCGTGTGTCTGTACCGAGGCCTCATTCATGATAGTCAAACATTCTCAATGACACACATCCCCAACCCTTGTCCTCTTAATTTTAAGTAAGACAGATTGTCTTCCTTTTCCTTAAACATAGATTACCCATGTAAGTTACTTATGAGGCAGGATAGACTGACAAGCATTAGCCAAGCCTCCTTTGTGGGGCAGGTCTGTAATCCCACCTATTGGAGAAGCTGAGGCAGCAAGATAAAAAGGTCTCGTGAGAGGGCCGAGTGGATACAAGTGCTTGCTGCCTGGTCACCTGAGTTAGACCACAGGAACCCACTTGTGGGAGGGGATAATCCCACAGAGATGTCTTCTGACCTCCACACACCACCTTGGCACATGCACCCACATGCAACACACACACACACACACACACACACACACACACACACACACAAATAATTTGTTTTTAATGTGTTCAGATGTTTTGCCTGAATGTGTTTGTGCACCACATGCATGACTAGTGCCCGAAGTGGCCAGAACGGGTTTTCTGATCCTGTGGTGAGCAGCCACGTTAGTGCTGATAATTAAATCAGGGGCCTCTGGAAGAGGAGACAGGGCTCATAACTACGGAACCATCTCTCCAGCCCCATGAAAGCAAGAAAGAAAGTTCAAGTCTAGCCTGGGCAACTTAGTAAGAACCTGTCTCAAAAGAGAGTTAGGAGGTCAGGGTGTAGCTCAGGGTGCGGTGCTTGCCTAGCAGGAGCACCATAGTAACTCAACAGCAACAAATGAGCAGAGAAGACACAAAAGGGCGAGGGCCTGTGACCTCCGAACACCCACCTCACTCCAAGTAAACTGAGGGGCTGACATCAAAGTGTCATAGGTTTGTCAGGGAGACCTGGGAGACCTGTTTTTATTTTGGTCTACATCTGCTCCTTTGTGAAACAATTCCTGAGAGAACACTGTAATGTAAGCTAGGAGAGAGACACGGCTGAAGCTTTTCCTACATGAAAACAAAACAAAACCCAAACCCCCATACCATGGGTCTCTTCCCTGAGTGAATTTTCATGGAAAATAAGGCTACAAAACTGGGGTCTGCTGCCAGTGTTGGTCTTCAGATGACGAAGAATATTCTGCGACAGGAGTTTTTTTATTTCTCTCTCTCTTCAGTCAAGACACTTGTGGGTTTCTCTTTGGTATAAACGATCAGATGCTGAGGAATTGGTTTCCTGTGACAAAAGATGTCCCTCAGAGGTTAACTTCAAGAAGTCTTTCCCTAGAAGGAGTTCTCGGAGGGTGACGGAGGTGTGTGTGCTTGTGAAAGGGCTTCCCTCGTGTGACACACTGCTAGAGTTGCCCTCACTGTGCATCCTTTGGTGCTGACTGAGGGATGAGCTGCGGCTGAAGGCCTTTCCGCAGTCACTGCACTTATACGGCTTCTCCCCGGTGTGTATAATGGCATGGCGAATGAGGTTTGTGCTCCAGCAGAAGGATTTCCCACACTCAATACATTCAAAAGGCTTTTCCCCACTATGAATCCGCTTGTGCCTCGTGAGGCCTGACATACGAGCAAAGGCCTTCCCACACTCCACACACTCATAGGGCTTCTCTCCAGTGTGGATGCTGAAATGACGAATAAGGTCTTTCCGATTGCTAAAGGCTTTCCCACATTCTCTGCATGCAAAGGGCTTTTCTCCAGTGTGGGCCCTTTTATGCAAGATGAAAGTGGAGCAGTGGGTGAAGGCTTTTCCACACTCACTGCACACAAAAGGCTTCTCCCCAGTGTGAATGCGCTGGTGCCTCTTGAGGTACGACCTGTGGTTGAAGGCTTTGCCACACTCGAGGCACTCAAAGGGCTTCTCCCCAGTGTGGATCACATAGTGGTGGATCAAGGCTGCACTCTCAAGGAAGACTTTCCCACACTCACGGCATTCATAGGGCTTCTTTCCAGTGTGCGTCTGCTGGTGCCACAGGAGGTAGGACCTGTGCTTAAAGACCTGTCCACACTCAAAGCACTCGTACGGATTCTCCCCACCATGAATGACACAGTGTCTAAGGAAACCTCCCCTATGTCGAAAGACTTGTCCGCATTCTGTACACACGAAAGACTTCTCTCCCGTATGTCTCCTGCCATGCAAGACAAAATTGGAGCGGTGTGTGAAGGACTTCCCACATTCACTGCACTTATAAGGCTTCTCCCCACTGTGGATCCGCTGGTGCTGGGTAAGGTATGACTTGCGGTTGAAAGCTTTTCCACATTCCAGGCACTCGTAGGGCCTCTCTCCAGTGTGGATCATCTGGTGCTGAAGGAGATGAGTGCTCTTTATGAAGGTCTTCCCACATTCTGTACACTCATAAGGCTTCACTCCAGAGTGGATTTTCTCATGTCCAGCAAGGAGGTGTTTCTTATTAAATACCTTCCCACAGTCACTGCATTTGAAGACAGGTTCCTCTTCCTCCTGTGTGGGCGTTGGGCACAATTCCTCAGCTGTCCCTACATCATCTGGTATAGGACCCATTTTCCCAGGAAGTTTCTCCACCTGGGCCTCTGTCTCTTGTATGAAGAGTCTTTTCTGAACTTGTGATGGATCATTGGGGCCTTTGGTTTGCACCCATTGTAAGCCTCCTGGGGTTCTTGTTGACTTTTCCTGGAATGAGATTCCCTCAGACAGTTTTGGCTTGTAAGTGGTAGAGCCTATGGACTTGGTTTTTCCACTGTCACCTAAAACAAATTCAATGCACAACAGGGAATGTGAGTAATAACATCATAGAAAAAACAAAACCATGCTATTGAAAATACATGAGCACACCCTGCCCCCCCAAGAAGATAAAAATAGTTCCTCTCTGCCTACTATATTATCTCCAAAGCCTAGGTTAGCAACTTTTTTTTCTGGTCCTTGGATTCTAAATGCTGTGAAAGGGAGATGTCGAGGGAGAAACTGGGTCAGGCCTTTCAAGGAGTTGTTTTCAAAATTACAGGCTGGATGTGGCTTGTCAGAGTGAGACTGACACCTTGAGGTAAAATTTCTCTAAGTGATGTACCTAATACTGTCTCCATGGAAGACATGAAATATATGATGAGAAAGAAAGCACCCACAGGGAGCTCAGCTTT